GGAGCCCGACGCGGGACTCGATCCCAGGACTCCAGGATCATGACCTGAGCCGAAGGCAGTCGCTTAACCAACTGAGCCACCCAGGCGCCCAAGCATATGTATTTTTAAAGCTCCTTAGGTGATTCCAAAGTGCACCACGTTTGAGAACTCAAAAATAGCACTTTTCAAACTTCAATCACGTGGGAATCTAGTCAAAATGCAAGTTCTGCTCGAGCAGGTCAGGAGTCTTCAAGATTCTGCATCTCTAAAGAGCTTCCAGGTGATGCTATTGATTCCTTACCACTTCCCCCAAGAGGCATTCCCCAAGAGCTTCTGCTGTCTTTTTCTTCTGACTTCCAATGCCAACTAATATCTGCTCTCTTGCTGCCAAAACAGACTTGCACTTGGGCAAAGTGAGGCAGGATTTTTCCTGAGCTCCTTTCCCAGAAATGAGTGTTAGCGCTCGTGGGTCTGGTGAACAGGCCTTAAGAACACACCCACCCTGGCATTGCTCAGACAGGTGATGGGGGAGACCTGAGGGCCAGCAGAGGTGAGAGGAAGGGGCTTCCCAGGCCCCACCCTTAGGGGTTCTCAGGGAGACCCAGGGCAGGGACATGGGGCACCGCAGGGGCTGAAGGTCGAAGGCCCAACTATGTGTATGCTTATTCAACAAATATTGGTAGGTTGCCTACTGGCTGGGCACTATTCTTGTACCAGTAAGACAGAAAAGGTCCCTCCTGTGGAGCTTACAGTCTAGCCAAATCCGTAGCTACATATACAGTTTGTCACATGGTGGTAAGTGACGGAAAGAAATATAAAGCAGAGAGGAGAGAGGAGGAATTTGTTGGGAGGGGGGTCATGATTTTAAGCGTAGGAAGCCTCATCCATTAGGTGGCTTTTAAGCCCAGACCTGAAGAGAGTGAGCCCTGTGGGTGGGGGAGGGGAGATGGCCCAGGGAAAGGGAGCAGCAGGTACAAAGGCCCTGAGGAAGGAACAGCGAGGAGACAAACAGGCTGGAAGAGCAGTAGGGGATGGAGTCAGAGAGGATGGAAAAGTTATGGGTACAGAACCCAGAGATAGGCTTGGCTGCTGAGGAAAGGGGCAGAAGAATCCAAGGATGCCTCCCCACACGTGAGGGGAGCCCAGGTATTAGAGCTGAGGCTGAGAGATATCTTGGGCCCTCCCTTCCCTAAGACCCGAGCTGGTGGGAGAACAGTTCGCTCTGGGCACAAGCCCTGACGGGAGCCCTGAAGTCATTAGGGCTGGCTGGCGGGTGGTGCCCTGTGTGGCAATGCAGAGGTACCTGCCCACCGGCCATCCTGGTGCCTCACTCCCTGGGCCAATAGCAATCCCTGCCCCCCAACCCACCGCCACAGGGCCTTATCTGAGCAGTGGGGGGAAGGGCTGGTCAGGTATCCCTCCTTCCCTCCTTTCAGCACAGAGCCCCCACAGCGGGTGCCGAGGCCTGGGAGATCCCCCCTGTTTGCTGACTCCAGCAAGCTACTCAGCCTCCCTATCTCTGACCTCTCCTCTCTCACAGCCCTGGTACTGTCCCCGGGAATGGTCTGGCCCTCTGACCTCAGCCCTCACCCACAGAAGACCTCGGTGACTCCTCACCACCCTCACAATAACCCCCTCAGCTCCAAGAAGGCCCCGTACGCAGGCCCAACTTCCTGCCAGCCATGCCCTCCTAGGACATCCCCTCCTCCAGGAACCACGCGCCCCTCGAGGCTATTGGCACACTGCGGAGCGGTTGGAAATGGTCACAGCTGCTTGGCCCACCACACGATGGGCTCCTTGACCATGGGACTCTGCTGGCCTGGGCTGGGGGGCGGGGGGCTCCAAACTGTGTCAACAAATGGAGGGAAACCCAGCCTCTGCCTACCTCAGGAATGTTTCCAGGAGGCAGAGGGGGTTGCTCTAAATCTTGAAGGACAACACGGAGTTCATTTCCTGGTTCTCAAACATACTAGCTACGTGACCCCAGGCAAATTACTTAACCTCTTAGTGCCTCAGTCTCCTTCCCTGTAAAATGGGGACGATGATACTTTCCTCATCGGGTTGTTGGGTGGATTAAAAGGAGCAACATATGCAGAGCATTCCAGCCCAGGACTGGCACGTGATCATACTCCCAAGAAGAGGTGGGTGGCTGTCATTACAGAGACAGGAGTTCAGTGTGTGGACAAGATGGAGCAGGAAGAGCATGGACAGAGGCCCCGAGCCATGAAAGCCATGAGTGTTTGCGGGATGCATGTATTTGGCACATATGGCGTGAGCGTGCTTCCTGTGGTGACACGGGCTGGAAGGTGTCAGGCTGGGTTGTGTCACCCCCACCGCAGCCCCCCTGCCCCCAGGTGCTTCCTGGAGCTCTAAGTCTCTGCAGGGCCTGAGATGGGCCTGGCTGTTTCTGAGGGCCAGCCTGGCAGATCATGGGTGGTGAGCCCAAGAAGGAGCTGGGCCATCAGGCCACACGTAGCCCCAAGGGCCTGGGCCATGGCTGAGCAAGCACCCACTGGGAGCCAGGGTGCAGTCACAGCTGGCAGCCCAGAAAGGGGACCCCACGGGAGCAAGAATCAGAAAGCAGGGCACCTCTCCTGGTCCAAGGGTCTTTCCAGCCCAAACACTGGGAACCCTGATCTCTCTGTTCCTCCCCAGGTCTTCACAGGGATCTTCACCGCAGAGATGACCTTCAAGATCATCGCTCTGGACCCCTACTACTACTTCCAGCAGGGCTGGAACATCTTCGACAGCATCATTGTCATCCTGAGCCTCATGGAGCTGGGCCTGTCCCGCATGGGCAACCTATCAGTGCTGCGCTCCTTCCGCCTGGTACCTGGCTGGGCCTGCTGCAGGGGGGTGGGGTGGGGGCCTGGGGCACTGAGGCAGCCTCCTCTGAGGTCACCACTCAGTCACTCTTACTCTGATCCATCATGCCTTCGCCTAAGAGCTATTTGCTGGGTACCCCAATGCTAGTGATGTGGGGGGTACAGGGGGGACAAGATGGGAGACATCCCTCTGGGGAAACTATTGAGATGGCCATCCTGATGACTTACAAAGCCCTGTATGGCTCACCATGCCCCCTTTAGTCCTCATAGTATCCAAGGAGAGGAGCTAGTATTACTATATACCCATTTCACAGATGAGGAGACCAAGTGAAATGAATTTCCCAAAAGCCACATGGGAAATAACAGGTGGAGCCAGGCCTGCTGACAGCTCTCCTGGGGTTCTCCCTGCTGGTTTCAGAGTCAGCATTTTGGAAACTGTTATGCACACAACAAATCATCTGGGGATCTTGTTAAACCGCAGTGCCTAATTTAGTAGGTCTCGGGTGAGGCCGAAGCTGCTGGTCTGTGGACCACTCTTTGAGTGCAGAATGTCTGAGAGGTCCACACGTGGGGCTGGAAGTAGATCAGGGAAGGCTTCCTGGAGGAAGTCTGGGCAATGGTGGTGGGTTCACTGCAGGCTTGAAAGGCAGGATGTTAGGAGCAGTAGAGAAAGTCTAAGCTATAGGTTCTAATCCTGACCTCCACTGCCATGAACTAATGGACTCAGAAAAGTTACTCCACCTTTAATGGTTGGCTTCTTCACCTGTCAAAAGAAGGAGTAATAGTGCTCACCTCATGTGGTTATCGGGAGCTCTGAATGAGGTGAGCCATCCTAAGCACCGGCCTGGCACAGCAGGTACTCAATACATGCTAAGCCCCTGCCCCCCTTCTCTGTGATAACTGAGAAGAGAGAAGGTTGGAGGCAATTGGGCAAATCAAAGATGGTTTGACCTGATGAAGATGAGTCTGGAAGAGGAAGGACATTCCATGCTGGAGAAGTCTACTGGGAAGTTCCTAGAAGTGAGCCTGAGACGGGTAGGAAGCTGGTGTGGGGATGAAGAGCAAGGATAAGTTGGGGAGGTGAAGCTGGAGATGTTGACTTGACTCCCAGAGCCGAGCCCAGTGAAGCTGCCCTCAGGCTATAGAGAGAAACAGCAGTGTGTGCTCTTGGAAAAACAGGTGTCCATGGGCCCCCTGGGTTTTCAGGCAGGAGCTATCAGGGGTGAGGGTGTCCATGGGCGGCGGGAACCAGAGCCGCTCACAAGGACACCTCCCTCCCCAGCTGCGGGTCTTTAAGCTGGCCAAATCATGGCCCACCCTGAACACCCTTATCAAGATCATCGGAAACTCAGTGGGGGCGCTGGGGAACCTGACACTGGTGCTGGCCATCATCGTGTTCATCTTCGCTGTGGTGGGCATGCAGCTCTTTGGCAAGAACTACTCAGAGCAGAGGCACCGCATCAGTGACTCAGGCCTGCTGCCCCGCTGGCACATGATGGACTTCTTCCATGCCTTTCTCATCATCTTCCGAATCCTCTGTGGGGAGTGGATCGAGACCATGTGGGACTGCATGGAGGTGTCTGGGCAGTCACTATGCCTGCTTGTCTTCTTGCTTGTTATGGTCATTGGCAACCTTGTGGTAAGTTGGCCAGTGGGCCCATATACACCACACACACATTCACCCACCCAGTCATCCCTCTGTCCATTCACTTCCTTCCATCCATTCCATCATTACTCAGCCATCTATCAAACTACCCATTTATCCATCAATCTCTCATCATCCATCCATTTACCCATCCATCCACCTATTCATTACCCATCCTTCCATCTATCTACTCATCCATTCATTCATCCACCCACCTATGCACCCATTTACTCATCCATCTGTGCACTTATCACCGTCCCATCTATTCACTTACCCACTTATTCTTCCATCTCTCTACTCATCCATACATCTCCCTATCCAGCCATCGATCTGTTTATCAGTCACCCACCCACCAGCTCACCCATCCATCTGTCCACCTCTCCATCAGTCTGTCTACTCAGTTACCAGTCCTCCTATCTATTCACTCACTCACCCAGCCATCCAGCCATCAACCCCCACTTATTCATTCTCATACCCATCCACCCATTCATTCACCCATCCATTTATCTGTCCATCAACCACCCATCCGTCAACCTTCTTCATTCATAAACACACACACACAGCCTACCTGTTCATCCATCCATTCGCCCATCCATCTGTCCACCCATCCATTCACTCATCTACCCATCCATCTATCCATTCATCTATCATCCATATTTTTGCTCTCTTATCTACCCCTCCACTCACTAATCCACCCCCACATCCATCTGTCAACCCACAATCCATTCACTCATTCACCAGTCCTCTCCATCTACCCATTTATCCATCCAGCTCTCTACTTACTCACTCACTGACCCATCCATCCATTCCCATCACTCCTCATTTGCTCATTCATTCAGTCACCCACCTAGGTACCTGTTTATTCATTATATTCTCATTTTATATCCATTAACTTATTTATTTACTCATCCACCAACTATTTTATTAGTCATTTACTGTCAATGATTTATCACGTGGTTTTTCAATTCAGCTGCGCTCCTGTTGCATGCAAAATATTGTGGCAGGTGCTGCTGGGCATACAGAGGTGAACATGGCCCTGACATGGCTCACCGACTAGAGAGTGGGGAGGTGGAGGGTTCAAACAGGCCTGGAATAACTCTCAAGCTGGTCAGAATGATCAGAAGCATTAAGGGGGAGCCCTTGGGTGCTGATCCCCTCCGGCAGGGGAAATCAAGGAAGGCTTCCTAGGGGAGGGTTTGGAGCAGACCTGCTTGGTGACTCTAGAGTGGGAAGGAACAAAGGGAGCAAAGCACAGGTACAGCAGGTGGTGGTCCAGGTAAGGCAGGGTCCACGGGAGCTTGTATGTCATCCTGGGTAGCTATGGTGGGAGTCCCTGCTGCCCTGTCATGAGGGACCCAGGCCTTGCTCCCATGACCACCTGTGTGTCCTAGAACAGGTGCATCTTGCCTTGTAGCTTTACAATGTGGGGAATTTGGCAGTTGAGAGAGATCAAAAATCCCAGTGCCAGAGAAGAAGCTTTGGGAAGAGGCCAGGTTGAGGCAAGTGAGTGGTTCAGGAAGAAGTCAGTGTCCACTGGGGACACGGAGCTACCTGCCTGGGCGCACAAGTGGCCCTACACATGCTAGACATCACACCTGCGTGATCCGACTCTTGCCGGTGTAGGCAGCATAGTCTCCCAATCAGCCATAGAGGGCTTGTGGGTCACTCAAGTACAGTGGGCTGCAGGTTGCAGACAGAGCCCTGCCCCAAACCTCCCTGCTTCTCCTCCAATGTGCCCTAACCTTGCAAGGGTGGGCCCAGGCCAAGTTGGGGTCAGGCTCCCTCCAGCCCCACTGGTGGGGCCCAGAGAGGTGGCAGGGCATTGTGCTCAGTGCCAATGGGCTGCACCCCCTTCCATTCCTTGGGCTGCACCCCCTTCCATTCCTCCAACCAGCTGCCCCTCGGGCTGGAGCCTCATTCAGCCCTGGCCCAGTTCCAGGGGCCACCGGACTATGTATTCTAAGGAGGATGCGAGTACGCCAGGCTCTCAGCCCAGGGCCAGGCCCGCTGCCCTCATGCACACAGCCCTGCGATTTCCTAGCGGATCTGCCTGAGGATGAGATGATTAGAGGCTGCTGGAGGAGGGAAGCTACCGCAGCCCACGCAGCCCCCTCCCCGGTCGCCTCAAGAATTGGGCCGCTGCCGGGCGTGGGTGGAAACAAGATTGCCACTGAAATGGGAAGTCATGATCAGGCAGGGGCTGGGGAACGGCAGCAGGATTGATGGGGAAAGCACTGGAAGAAGTCAAACCTCGGCAGCAGGCAACAAGGGAGGACCTGGTGTTCTTATGGGGGTGGACAGGGCTGCCCAGGCACACCCCCTGCCCTGCCCCCCAGCCTGGGCCCCAGATACCTGGAGATGAGGCATTGATGAGGGCAGAGGATCCAGGATGGGCAACTGAGAGCAGAGGCAGGCCAGGCCCGGGCCAGTGTGGCCGAGGCCAGAGGCCAGGCCAGAGGTCAGTGTAGACAGCAGCCCTGAATCACATCATGTGCCCCACCCCCCAGGGATGACATTAAAATGGCTGCCAGGTGTCAAAAGTGATCATCTCCCCATATGGAATGCCAGGCCCTGCTTCTTCACCTTGCCATTCTGTCCTCCTGAACGTGTTTGCTTCTTAAACCAAGGGCATGTTTCTGACTGCCTTTGTTCCAACCTTACCACTGCTTTCTTCAGAATTCTCGTCCCTAGCTCTCTGGCAGGCACGAGGTGTGTCCTAGGAGCTTGTGAGGAGAGGGGCCCAGAGTGGGTTTCCAGTGAGAACCGCACACCCACCATCACACACCTCCCATTCAAGGCAACTCCCTTCTGGGGCTGGCTGGGAGGAGGAGGCACCAAGCCCAAGGTGGGGAGGCGGTGTATCTGGCCTGTCAGCCTGGTGATGCTCCGGAGCCCGTCTGACCCATGGGTGGGAACAAGCCCACCGTCATTTTCATTTACCCTCCACGAGGCTGGGAAATGGACCCAAGGCCACCCTCTTGTCACTCTGCCAAAGGTCTCTTTCTTAACAAAAGCTAAAGCTTTGCACTTGCAGGATGGTTTGACAACAAGCAGTAGTCCAGAACCATGCAAAGAGAGATGGATTTTGCACACCTCACTTAAGGAGTCTCGGGTCCCTAGCCCCTGATAAATAAGTTCTGTCCTTCTGGCACCCTGCAACCTGAGCCCCTCCCCCGAATCCCGGCAGCTCCAACCCCAGGTCCCTCCTCCCCCTCCCCAGTTGTCTGGTCCATTACCCAGAGCCCATCCCAGCACCCCCCACTGCCTAGATAGTCACCTCTCCATGTCCTGACCCTGCAGTTAGTCCCAGATGCCCGAGGACTGCCCTTGCCCCTTCTCTGCTCCGTCCCCCACGTCCCTTACCTGGAAAGCAGAGTCAGACCTGGGGACACAGGTAGAAGGTGCTCCACAGCAGGAGCCCTAGATTTACAAGTGCTGAGCCAGCTCAGAGGCCCATCACTACCCCATCCTTCACCAGCAGACGTAGCGGCTCCTTCCCTGGAAAGCCCTCAAGAGCTCTGGATTGCTTCTGGGTGGGATTCTGTCTTGTCCCTGGTGATCCCAGATTGGATCTGACTTCCCAGGGAGCAGCCCTGTGCTCATCCTAACCCCGTTACTTCGAAGGCAAGATCCCATCTGCAGTCTTCATCACTGGATGAACCCATGGTTTTCCCATAGACCCCAGGCCAACACCCAAGAAATCTGGGGGTGAATGCCCCAACCCAGACTGTATCTGAGCCCTTGGGAAAAGGGACGAGAATAATCTTCCATCTTATAGCCAAATTCACTATATTCAAGAGAACGGGGGGGTGAGGATGAGGGCTTAGGCCATCAGCAATCCTTAAGGTCAGGTCCCCGGGCCTCAGTTTCCCCATAATGAACCCGAGGCTCACTGCCCCTAGTATGGTGCCTGCCTCGATGAGCCTGATCCATTGCCTCCACAGGTCCTGAACCTCTTCCTGGCTCTGCTGCTCAGCTCCTTCAGCGCAGACAACCTCACAGCCCCTGACGATGATGGGGAGATGAACAACCTCCAGCTGGCCCTGGCACGCATCCAGCGCGGCCTGCGCTTCCTCAAGCGGACTACCTGGGACTTCTGCTGTGGGCTCCTACAGCGGCGGCCCCAGAAGCCCGCAGCCCTCGCCACCCCTGGCCAACTGCCCAGCTGCGTTGCCACCTCCAGCCCCCCACTGCCCCCGGAGTCAGAGAAGGCGCCTCTGGCCCGCAAGGAGACACGGTTTGAGGAAGACAAGCGGCCAGGCCAGGGCACCCCCGGGGATACAGAGCATGTGTGTGTGCCCATTGCCGTGGCTGAGTCAGATACGGATGACCAAGAGGAGGATGAGGAGAACAGCCTGGGCACAGAGGAAGAGTCCAGTAAGCAGGTGAGTGCCCCCCCACATATATGCAAGACCTACTTGTACAGGGCCCAGGGCCATGCTCGCCAGGGCTCCCAGCCTTGCTCAGAGAGCGGCTGCCCCTGCCAGACTGCCCCAGCAGAAGTAGGGTGGTGGTAGATGACAGGCCACCCCCAAGAGGCAGCCCAAGGGGGTGCTGAGGCCAGCTGTCAGCCCTCTCTTCCCAACCCAGCCCAGAGGGGACCTTGGAAGGGGCTATTGTCCATCATTCGTCTGATGCTAGCTATGAGCAGCTAATTGTACAGGAAGGGGAACTGAGGCATGGCAAGAGACAGACTTGCTAGGAGTGCCTCGCGAACCTACGACAGAGCCAGCACTCCCGCCGCCCCCCCCCCCCACCATTGTCCCCCTCCAGGACTAAGAAGGTGGAATGTCTTGGTGAGGGAGGAGAGCAGTCTCCTGACCTCCTGACTGCCCTTTCCCCTCCTCCCTGGCCCAGGGCTAACTCTGAGATTTAAAAATAAGCATCCCTAAGATGGCAGGTGTCAGAGACAGCACTATCTTATCTCCCAACCTGTTATTTTTAACACTTAGGACCAGAGTCTGGACAAAAGAGACAGTGCCCCCCACCCCCTCAGTTTTCCTGTGGCAAATGGCTTCTCCTTAGGTCTTTAGGTCAAACAGTGAGTGGTTCTCTGTCTGGTTGGGCCCATCCTGGCTGCTTGCTTTGGGCCTGCACTGGGTGGGTCGGCTGTGAAGAGCCACTGCTCCCCACGTGGGGAATTGAATCTGAGGCTCCATGCTTGCTTCCACATCGTTCTGCCTCCCAGTGGTCCCAGAAGGCCGGCTTCCACCCCTTCGGTCAGGCTGTGGGACAGGGACGGTGTAAGTCAGGGGAGCGCTGTGTTGGTGTCGCCAGGACCGCGACTACCAGTTATCTCCAGGATGCTCCTTTTCCTGCTCCTCTCCTTCTCTTGAGCCTGTTGACTCTGGCTCCCTGGGGCCAGTGTGTGTGTGTGTGTACGCGTGTGTGTATGTGTGCGGAGGGGGACATACACACGGGGTGCTATGGGAACTCATGGGGGAAGTCCGTATGTCCCTCCTAAGTGGAATTGCCAGCATTTGGGAACTGGGCGTTGCAGCCCAGCTGCACCTTTCCAGGGAGCGCAAAGAGGGGGAGATTTAGGCCAGGCTGACCAGGAGCCTCCCAGTGGCCCCCTCCAGGCCCTCGAGGAAGAGAGCTTCGGTAACCTGAGGCCCCATGAAGAGGGGAGGAGGCAGTGTTCCAGTTGCTTAGGCAGGGCCCTGGGAACACTCCGGCCAGGGAGCTCATGGGCTGGGGGTCTCTTCAGCAGGAATCGCAGCCTGTTTCCGGCAGCCCAGAGGCCCTCCCAGAGCCCAGGGCCTGGAGCCAGGTGTCAGAGACCGCCTCCTCTGAGGCCAGTGTGGCTCAGGCAGACTGGCGGCAGCAGCGGAAAGCGGAGCCCCCGGCCCCAGGGTGCAGTGAGGTAACACACACCTTTGTCCCTGAAGCCGGCGGGGCGCTGCACTTGGACTGGAGCCAGGCTGTGAGAGGTCCTGGCACACGCCCGCATTTGCTGGTGGGAGCCATAGCCACGTTCACGGGCAGTGTGGGAGACCTGTCGGCAGAGGGGGGCACGGGGGCCCTGTCCTGACAGGGGAGGGGTGGCATGGGGCCCAGAGCTTCTAGGAAATTCTGGAAGCGGCCAGCCCAGGCCCCTGAGGCAAGACTAACCCTAGCCCTCCATGTGTCCCCCCCTCCTCACTCAGTTCCCGTGCTTTGGTCCTCTTTGGCAAATGTTTGTCCTGTGAATTACCCCATCCCAGGGGACTTCGGGGCGGGGCAGGGGGGCCCTGAGAACAAGTTCTTGACGCACTGGCCACCAGCTGCTTCTCTCCGTGACTAAGGCAGAGGCCGCAAATGGGAGGCCTACTGTAGAGTTTTGTTCTGGCCACAGAAGGGTTTTAATTTGAATTCGCCACCAACATTTAAAACCTGGTAGCTGTTATGTAAAAACCAAAAACAAAAACAAAAAATCTGCATTTCTGAAATGCAGAAAAAAGTGGAAAAAAATGAAAACAAAACAAAACAAAACATTGGAAGAAGAACCACCCCACCGGAGACAAGTGGGCCCGCACCCACACATGACCGACACGGTCACACCACTGCACGCACACACCTCGCTGTAGTCAGATTAAGCAAGGTCGGGGTGGCCGAGCCCTGCATGGCCAGGCAGGGCAGTTTCCAGTACCTTCTTGCTTTAACTCCAGACTCTGCCATCACCCCAGCACTCATGAACTGAGTGAGAAGCGTCGGCTGGGAGGCTGGGCTGTGCTCTGCTCATCTGACCTCCACCCGTCTGTGCCTGTGGTCCTGGTTCTGACTCTGTTCTGGGTGTGGCACGCCTGTTTTGTCCGCGTGCGCCAAGCTGCCACCGTGTGTCCTTGTCTGAGTGTGTGTCCGTGTTGCCGCCCGTGTCTGTCTGTTTCCAGCTGGATGCATTCCCCATCCCCAGTGCTTTCCCTTCCCCTTGCCCCCGACCCTAGACTCCGGCAGACCAAACCGCAGACTCAGGAGCCCCTGAGGTCCAGCCTCAGTTCAGCCCGGGACAGGTTCCCACCCACCCTGGGCTCACGTTTCCAGGTTATGCAGTGGAAAGTAGTCTGGGCGCCTCCCCTCAGGGAGCCCCTGGCTGCCCCAGATGCAGGGCTCGAGGCTGGAGGCTTCCACGTGGCCCTCACCACCCCCCCTGCCCACAGACTCACGAGGACAGCTACTCAGAGGGGAGCACAGCAGACATGACCAACACGGCTGACCTCCTGGAGCAGATCCCTGACCTGGGCGAGGATGTCAAGGACCCAGAGGACTGCTTCACTGAAGGTGCTGCGCCGAGTGGCCCTTTACCTGAGGTTCTCTCCACCCAGAGGGACAGGAGAACCAGCAGCTCCGTGGGGCCCAGGGCCATGTTGTTCCCCACCCTGACCCCGATGCTTGCCCTCCTTCCCCATTCCTCATGACCCTGGGGGCCCCTCATTCTACCCAGGACCTGACGACACGCCTGCCCGTGGAGTGCTGGGCTGGGCAGCTGGGGGTCAGCCACACGGAAGACCCGTGACTGCGTTGGTAGGGAGATGGCCCACGTGTGTGCCCCCCAGCAGCAGGGGCTCCATCCTCTTCACCGGTGCCCCTGGCACGGTGCCTGCCCTATAGTTGGCCTTCTGTAAATACCCACGGGTGTGACGTGTGCCCGTGGCGGTCATCGGCATCCGTAGCTTTGACGAATTGGTGGTGAATATTCGGAAGGCAGCTGGGATAAAATCAGAGTTTGCCCTCACGTGGCATGTCATTTAGGGCTCTCAGTGAGGGCTTTGCCCTTCCCACGGTTCAAAAACTGCAAACATGGAAAAGACCGAGAGACAGAGTACCCCAGGAGTTCTGGAGTATTTCCCCAGGGGGAGAATTTCCCAGATGAGCAGAGGGGACACTGGAGCCCAGCCTAGCCCCAGCCTTCCCCCTGCTCAGATCTGCCAGGCCCTTTACCCACTCACTGGATGCCTAGTCCATCCGGCCTTTCCATGGAGTTCCTGCTGAGCGTGGGCCCCTGAGGACAGCACCATGGTGCTCCCTGCTGTCCCATCGCACTTGCCCACGTGTCACACTGTTCACGACTCCATATCATAACCCCTTTCTCTTGGTCACCCCTTCCACCATCCAACCTTTCACCATCAGATGTGGGCATTTGCAGGCGCTGGGCTGGGCCTGACCCCCCCCTCCCCCCTCCCCCACAGGTTGTGTCCGGCGCTGTCCCTGCTGCACTGTGGACACCACGCAGGGCCCCGGGAAGGTCTGGTGGCGACTGCGCAAGACGTGCTACCGCATCGTGGAGCACAGCTGGTTCGAGACGTTCATCATCTTCATGATCCTGCTCAGCAGTGGAGCCCTGGTAGCCTCCTGGGGATGCAGGGTTGGGCAGAGGGGTGGAGGAGCGGGGAGGGCAGGGAAAGGAAGTCTGCAGCTGAGAGCGAGGCCAGAAACTGGGGCAGAGCCTCTGCTACAGATGTGCTTCCCTCGGCCCCCAGAACAGGAGTCAGCTCACAAACTCATGCCACCGCCGCATGTGTGGAAATCAGAGCAAGATGGGCTCACAGAGGTCATCGGTCCAGACCCCCGTGTCCCACCAAAGGGGGAGTGATTTGCCCCATTTCACAGTGTCCAGCTGGCGTAGGTTGCAGCCCACCAACCACCATCCCCCCAAAGCTCTGGTGACACACCCAGTTGCACCTCGCTCCGTTAGGCCCTTTCAGTGCAGTTAACAATGCTGCCTGAGACTCTCCTGGTAGCGCCACTCACTCTGGCTGCTCCGGGGCTAGAGGCCGGGCTACGTAGTTCACATGTTGTCACATTTGATCCCAGCAACAGCCCTTTGTAGAACCATTATGTAACCTGCCGAAGGTCCCGCCACTCGCAAGCGGCCGGTGTGGCACTTGAACCCAGGCAGTCAGATCCCAGAGTCCTTTGTCTTGACCTTCCACTTGTTCAATAGATCTCTTCTCAGCTCTCCTTGTATCTAGTCCTGTGAGTCATGGGGAGCAACAGGAGGAGGAGACCCCAGCCCCGGCCTCAGTGGCTCAAAATCTAGGTGGGGGAACCAGAGTCAGTAGGTTTGAGATAGAGATCAGCTCAAGAGGGAATTTTGAGTAAGAGTGGAGTAAATGCCTTCAAGGTCAGGGGAACTGCAACAATCAGGAAGACTCCCTGGAGAGAGCAGGTGAAGCTGGACTGTGGGAGACAAGGAGGTTGGCTGAGACCAGGAGATCAGGGACGCCCTTCAGGAATGCCCCATGGGGCTCACAAGCACCCTATTCTGATCTCTCAGAGTCCTTTCAGGAGGAGATGGGACAGCCCTGGAGAGGGTTCTAGAAGATGCTGGTGAACAGGGAGATGGGTGGTCAAGAAGGCAGAGGAGATAATCACTTGATACCAGGCAAGCAGTTGATACCATTGGGGAGGTGAGAACCCCATGTTTGAGCAACTAACAGGGAATACTTTGAACTCCAGAGCAAGAGAGAAGGGCACTTTGACCCAAGGCTATGTGCCTCCACTCTGTGCCGTCTCCTGGGGTCAGGCCATGGGGAGGCACTGTGGCTGTCACCCCTAAATCTCTGGGCCTCCCATCCTATTCTGTACTGCCCTCCCCTGTTCCAGAGTGGGCCTGGAGCCATGACTTAGAGGCCACATGCTGTTTTACCATTGGCAGCTAAAGCCAAATCTCTGTAGGCTTCAGAGAAGGATGATTTGACAATATGTTAACGAGTTTTGTTTTTAAACAGCCACAAACAAGGGCAGCCAGAGCCATGTAGTCTGGGCTGTGGAGGAAAAACTCAGCCTGGCATAAGTGAGGAGGAGTTTTGGCAAGCAAATGGGGAATCTAATCAGGGTAGACAGCCAAGCACGGTTTAAAAAAAAAAAAAAAACACGTCGATGATATATTGAGAAAAAGAAGTCTGAGTGTGTTATTTAAAGTTATAAACTTGTTTAACAGAAAGCAAACTATATATCCCTTCCAAATTGTTGAAGGGAATTTTCTTTTAAAGAAAACAGAGCTCTTACAGCAGAAGATAGGAGAAAAAGGAAGGAACAAGGAAACATTAAACCAGGAAACAGAAAATAATGTGGCAGAGGCAAAAGCAAATATGTTTTAATAATAATGGTAACTGGATAAAATTCATCTTTTAAAAGGAAAGGACTCTGAATGGATTTAAAACAAAAAACAAAAAACAAAACTTCACCTAGGTGCTCTTAAAGGACAAACCAAAACAGTGTCACTCAGAAATATTAGAAGTAAAGTAATAAGATAGGCAAATGCAAACAAGCACAATAAAAATCAGAGTGTTTTTGTTTGTTAATATTAAACAAGGTTGAATTCAAAGTAAGAAGCATGAGATAAAGCGGGTCCAAGCTATAATAAAAATAAAACTATTGGGGTGCCTGGGTAGCTCAGTCGGTTAAGCGTCTGCCTTCGGCTCAGGTCATGATCCCAGAGTCCTGGGATCGAGTCCCACTTTTGGCTCTCTGCTCAGCGGGGAGTCTATTTCTCCCTCTCACCCTCCCTCTGTGCTCTCACACACTCTCTCTCTCAAATAAATAAATTCTTAAAAATAAAACTATTATGAATATATTTTTGCTTGGGATTGCATAGCACTTATATCAAACAAAAACTATTAGGAAAAAAAAGCAGCAGCAGCAACGCAATAGTACAAGGAGATTTTACCACACTTCTATTAGTTCCTGACAAATCACATAGAAAGAACAAGACTATGGGAGATCTAAAATATATATATAGTTCACAAATTTGATCTAGCCTAATAATAAAAACAAGAACATTTAAATAAGCACCCACTATGTGCCAGACCCTATTATAAGTATCTTACAAAGATTAATTCATTTGATTCTCATAATAACCCTAAGAAATAAGTACTGTTATTAAGCCTATTTTACAGATAAGGAAACTGCTAGATATAGCAAAAATAGAAAGATTAAAAAACAACAACAGAAATAATCCTTAGAAGTGTAAAAGTCATTCTTAAACTGTGGCTCAAACGGAAAATAGTTTGGTGGTAGGTTAATGGGTGCTCATTATATTAGTAAGTAAGCAAATAAATAAAAAGGCTACTTGTGGACCAACGATGACAGTGTGTTGTAAGTCAAAGATTATAATTCAACCAATTCTGTCCACTTGAGATCTAGAAAAATAAGAAAAGAAAATTAGAGGTAGAGAAAAAAAAACTAGCTGGGGGGATAAAAAACTAAAAAATAATAATATTGAGAGTACTGCTTGTAGGATGCAGCCAAAGCTGTTATAAGAGGAAAATACATAGGGGCATCTGGGTGGCTCAGTCAGTTAAACATCCCACTCTTGATCTCAACTCAAGTCTTGATCTCAGGGTCATGAATTCAAGCCCCGTGTTGGGTTCCACACTGGACATGAAGACTACTTTTAAAAAAAAAATAGTAAGAGGAAAATTCATAAACACTTCTATTATTTTTTTTTATTATTTTTTTTTATTCTTATGTTAATCCCCATACATT